TCTTCTGTGAGAGTGCCATAAGTTCGCCAATTAGAAAGAGCTGAGAACAGCCGATTGCAACTTGTTGTTAGTCCAAAAGTCTGCACTTAAAAAATATTCCCCATACTGGAAATTATCTTTCGTCAATGTATTCCTAATATTTGGAATTTTTTAAAACTGTCTCAATACTTAGCTTAAGCTTGTTTAACTTTAACTTTTAAACTATTTTTAATATAAGTAAAATGCACCATACAATAATTATTGATTGTGTATTAAAGACGACACAATCTGATATTATAATACGGTTGTTGCCAAATGTTTTACCTTGATTTAATAATATTATTTGCAAATATTTTTTTAGCATTCGTTGTATAAGATTTTTTATTATTTTTATAACTTTCGCTGCGATGACGCAAATTCTAATCTAAGTTTCTTAAACAAGTTTTTATGCGTTGGTGGATGTACATAAACCATTTCCTCCAAAAGTGAGTCAGACTCTAATTCATATGAAGAAACCTCTGAGAAATTTGTATTTGCTTTGACCATGGAATCTATGCAAACCTAGGCGACTTTTATATGGTCTTTAAAGATATCGGCACGGATTCTTAAAAGGGATTCATCAAAATATATTTCACCTAGTTCTTACTTATCGGAAGCCTATAAATACAAAATCGATCATTTACTCCAAAAACAAAGCTTTGTTTTTTGTTGGGCAGTCCTAATTCCTGAAATTGATTTGTTATAATGTATGAAATAACTTTTTGAAAATTCAAAACCATTGAATTTTAATATTATAAATAAAACATATTTGGAAAGTAGAGGAAATACAAAAAAATATTGATTCTTACTTTCTGCCTTTTTTAGGAATTTGTAATAGGCATATTTATACAGTACCAAGATTTTCTTAAGTGTGACACCTTGGTAACGCAAAACTGCCAACTTGCAACCGGCAACCGGCGATTGTCGCATTCGTAATGAGTTCTGTGATCCCCCTGGTCGCCACGCAAATTGTCGCCTGTCAGCGTCGCCTGTCGAGTGATAAGCCAAGTCGAGTGCTGAGTTTTCGCCACCGGCGTTGGACATCAGCCATATATACCATATACCGGACTGCGGATTGCGGCCTGCGGATTGCCGGCTGTCAGGCGATATCGCTTGTTCCTGGACTTTGGGTGTGGCATGCAACAGTCGACACGAGAAGTCAATTTGGCGGCTGCAACTGTTTCACTCCGATTCGAATTCGAGTTTCGATTCCCACCATCTGAGCCCTTCGCTGACACAGAGACCTAAAAATCATCATAAATGGATATGTTTCCACTTTCCACGCTCACTTTCCTTTGACGGTAGCTACCTCCGCCCAACAAAGCTCGCTTTTTATGGAAATTGAACCCCCTTCCCCCCGCCAAACCAAATTCAAATGCAACAATTAAGCAGAGCTTATGGAGGTAGCCAATCAACTAAGAGCCAGCGTAGCCAAGAATTTTGTGATTTGCATATCTAAGGCATTAACTGAATGGCCGTTTGGTCTTTTGATGTCGCTTTGCATAGATTTTCGAGAACTCAAGTATTTATTTTCAGCTGCTCCGCTGTTGTTATTTTTTACATGATGGCAGTGCATTGTTCAAACATTCATCTACCGTTAAGTCAGGCCAAGGAATACTAACGAGATTTAAACTGCATTTGATATACTCTTTTTAAACTAATTTAAAAAATGACCGACATGTTTTAGGTCATACATTGGTAAGAAAAAATAACGTTATGACAAGAATTGCTACGGTTTCTGCTACGGTTTTTAAAAGTAGTTGTAATTACATTACCATACGTTTTAAAAAAAATATTTTGGATAATCTGAGCGGGCTGAAACCATTCTACTTTTTGGGAAAGTTTCAGAACGAATAAATTAAAGGCTACAAAGAATATGATAATCGTCTCTGGCTAAATCTTCGAAGGGATCATGAATTATTTTGAATTTAATAAGTTAGTTTTGATCATTACCATCATAATATAACCGACTATTTTTCCTTTAAGTAAAGTCTAGCTAAAGTTAGAGTAATGTCAATTCGAAAGCCTTTCTCGTCTATTGACCATGCTAATTAGCTCCATGTTGGCTAGGGTATGAAGGGGAGACAATGTATTCAGTCTTTGCAGTTTGCTGAAAATTAATTAGACTCAATTTGTTGCTCAACCATCAAGACGGACAACAATGGCAACGGCAGCGGCAGCTGCATCTTGTTTTGCCGGACAAATTCTATGCTCATATTGTGTATGGGGCAGAGGAAAAGATACGGACGTAGCAACAAAAAACCCAAAATGTTTGCGCTTACAATTCTCATGTAAATGCCAAAAGTTTCCACATTGTTAAAACGCGATTTGGGGAAGGGGGCAAGGGGCGGAATGAAGGGGCGGTGGTTTACTAAGTTAAACAGAGGCAAACGGTAAACATGTTGCTGTCAACATTTACATGCCAACATGTTGCTCGGCCACCATTTGGCGGCGATTAGAAAGCGCCGCCTCACCCGATAAGAGGTTGGTCCACCCATGGAGCAACGAGGCAAATTATTAACTGACACTTTCCCGCAGGGAACCCCTTCCCCCAAAGATTCCGTTGCAGAAAAAAATATCATCTATATTGGTTACCAAGAACATAATTGTTTGTTTAAAAAAACCTCCTGTCTTGGTATCATTTAAACTTTAGGAAACTTTTAATGAACAGACAATTTTATTTATAAATTCAAAAAAAAGTATATGGTAAAATATTTTCTCTTTCTATTCCTAAATGAATTTTAAACAAATTGAAATAAAAAAGTCTCACTACAAATTAAGTGATTTCCAGAGTTTACAAACCAATAGAATATGGTATTTTTATTGTAACCAGGAAATAGGTTGAATTTCTCAAATTTGATTTTGTGTTACTAGTTCTTTGCTTATATTAGGGAAATTTTAATTTAATATTCAGCGTAGAAATCATTAAATAATGACAAAAACACCAATACAGTGTCCAATTACTTTTGGACTGATTAAATGGGTGCAATAATATATAAAGAAGACACTTTGATTATAACAAGGCACATGTATCTAAAAGTGGGTTTCCCTTCGAATTTTAATTTAATATACAGCGTAGAAACCTTTATAAAATAATTAAATATAACACCAACTTTTTTTGGAGTCATTGAATGGGTACCATAATGTATAAAAAAGACTCTTTGATTATAAGAAGGCACATGTATCTAAAAGTGGGTTTCCCAGTGAATTTTAATTTAATATACAGCGTAGAAACCTTTATAAAATAATGAAATATAACACCAACTACTTTTGGAGTCATTAAATGGGTACCATAATGTATAAAAAAGACTCTTTGATTATAACAAGGCACATGTATCTAAAAGTGGGTTTCCCTGTGTGAGTTTGCTTCGGTTTTGGCGTAATTTATCAGAGCTGAAATGCAATCGGAGTGCAGGTGAAAAATAGACAGGCAGGCAGACAACGACAAACTCGCGGACAACACAACTTGGCCACTTGTTATCCACTGCAGAGCTCCAACTACAGCTCAAATAGCAGACTTATACAGATGTCAATTATTTTTGCCCGGAGCGGGAAGTTGACTAGCTCTTCCATTTCGATTTCGATTTAGTTGCGCGCTAGCAATTTTGGATCGCCGCGGATTGGATTCGATTGGGGACGAAATTGCTGGCCTAACTCGTTAGCTCACAAGTTGCAAGTTGCAAGTTGCCAGTTGCAACAATCCATCCAGCTACGTGGCAAGTCATCCAATTGTTGGCTACGAAATCGTTATTATTTGCGGACGCGATGCCTGTAGATGGCCAACAACTTGGATCTCTCGCTTCTTGTTCACTGGTTGCAAATTATAATTGAATGATTGCATGGCAGCCAAGCGATTTGCTCGTCATTTTCCCCAGGAAAAAAGGGGATCAATTGATATTGATTGGGCCCCTACTTAAAGGTAAAGGTGTCAAAACTATTGGCTCCTAATGGGTTGAAATGTAAAACAATTTGGCCGGGCCAAGTTCATTAAATTGAACCCAGAGTGGAGCCAAGACTGATAAATGCAATGTGGCCATGGCCGGGATCAATGTTTCGACAACGAATTTATTTGAAAGACAACTTGCAACAAATAAATTAAGCCAGCTATCCAGGCTTTGGCGATGGAATGCTGCCTGTGTAGGAGACCACGTCGTTGTCCTTTCTCGTTTGACGTCCAGTAATGCCAATGGCTTGTTGAAATTCATTCATCAATGTAATCGATCAGACGTGGACGGGCTTTGACATGCCACGTAACATGCTCTTCGTATGTAAATGGAGCCTGGGAGACAGACAACACACTCACAATGCAACATAAAATTTAATCAATTTATTGGAAACGAGCTATTGTCTTTGGTCTTTTGCCTTTCCAGCTTACATCGACATCGACTTCGACTCGACTGGGGGCTTATCCCCAGCTTTGCATCTACACTTTCTCCTCTCAGGTAGATATGCTATTTTCTTGGCACAAATGCAGGCAAAGGCCAAGATAAATCTCCCAGATTTGTGTGGGGAGTTGCGTTTTCTGGGGCGGATCCACCGCACCCACCTAGTTGGCTGAGCTGTGGGCAAAGTTTGGCATTGGATTATGGCGTTCCATTTTCTGAATGTCAGCCAGAGGTGAAAATCTTGAAAAATGTTTACCCAGGTATATTTGTTTTTTTTATTATTATGTTTAATACAAAAGTCACAATTTATATTTATTTTTAATTATAGGTATCATTTGGAATTATTTACTGAAAAGAATATGATAGTACTTTATTTCTTAGATGTAAAAGAAATAAAATAAATATATAAATACATTTTCAATTAAACGGGATTGAATGGGACAGAAAAGGGTAGGCAATAAAAATATATTTGCATTATGGTAAAATAAAGTTTTAAAATTGAAATTTACAAAGACAATAACTTTATATTTAACAAGTTGGCATATGGAAAGTTAAAACTTGTGTCAAAACCAGTAGGTCTTGATTTTCCTTACCACACAATCATCCCCATCCAGAATACCACATATACCAAGAAATCAAATAAATAAGCTGTTATTATGGCGAGACGAAGTAAAGGCAAGGTCAAAGTCAAAGTAGTTGCGGATCCAATTTTCAAATGGGATCTGATACCCGAAAGTGAAATGTTGGAACGGGAGGCTAAGTATTTAAGTCGCCTTAATGATTTTGGAGTTAGTGCTGATTTAGTTAAGCGTAAGTGATGTTCGGTGGTGACCAGGAAATCGAAATAATAAAAGCACCATAAATACAGATGCCCACAGCGATTTCTATGAACAGGAGGTTGAACGGGCGGCCAGGGAACATTGGGATCGCCATTTGCGATGCGATGGGTTGCCTCGTCCTTACCTTCCTGTCGAAATACGAACGTTTATTTCCAAAATACGTTTCTACGATGAAATCGAATCTACCAATTCGATGGATTGGACTTTGTCGGTGGACGAGCGCACCATATTGAATCAGAATATCTTTCGGGTTGACAAAACGAGACGTATGATGAGGCTTACCAAAGATAATCCAGGTGGGCTCTACGACAATAATGTCCAGATGTGCCTGGACACCTTGAAGCAGATGGATGTAATGCTGGACAATGAGGCGGAACTGGTGCGAATGAGTGGACAGCGACAGAAGGACATCATGGAAGTTTGTTAATAAAGCTTACGATGAAGCAGACACTTAATAATACCGCCCACTGCAGGTTTTTACTGAAGTCGAGCTGGAAATCGATGAACTCTTTAATCGCCTTACCTATAGAGTATTGAAAATGCAAAATACCTATATGGAGTGAGTACCTGTTCTTCAAAACGATCTGTTTCTTATGTATTTATACCCGTTACTCGTAGAGTAAAAGGGTATATTTTATTAATAAATATAATAAAAAAAGAAAGAAAAGGCCCCCCCCCCAAAAAAAAAAATATATTTTTTTTTAAAAAAAAAAAAGCCAAATAAACAACCCCCCCCCCCTCTTCCCCCCTCTCTCTCTCTCTCTCTTTCCCTCTACACACAGACCCCCAAAAAAAAAAAAAAAAAAAAAAAAAATATAAATTGGAATAAAAAAAAAAAAATTTCAAACAAAAAAAAAATTTTTAAAAAAAACCCCCCCCCCCCCCCCCCCCCAAAAAAAAAAAAAGAAATTTTTAAAAAATAATAAAAAAATAAATAAAAAATAATTTTTTTTTAAAAAAAAACTAACAAATTAAAAAAAAAAAAACCCCCCCCCCCCAACCAAAAAAAAAAAAAAAAAAAAAAAACCTACCCCCCCCCCAACCCCCCCTTTCCCCCCCCCCATAACAAATAAAAGAAAAAAAAAAAAAAAAAATAAAAAAAAAAAAAAAAAAAAAAAAAAAAAAATTAAAAAAAAAAAAAAAAAAAAAAAAAAATATTATATAATAAAAAAAAAAAAAAAAAAAAAAAAAAAAAAAAAAAAAAAAAAAAAAAAAAAAAAAATTTGAAAAAAAAAAAAAAAAAAATGTAATATATTTTTTTTTTTTTAAAAAAAAAAAAAAAATAATAAAATTAAAAAAAAAAAAATAAAAAAAAAAAATTAAAAAAAAAAAAAAAAAAATTTTTAGTTCCGAAGATGGCAAAGTGGCCACGTGGAGCTACAAGTGTAAGCCTTGGGAAATGGATATGTGGGGACTACTAAATGTTCCCATAATCTTTGAGCAGTTGGAGTAAGTTATCTAAATGAAAAGGTTATTTGTATGTGTACCAAATACCCCTTAGATTGCCAGTTATGTTGGCCGAGTTTAAAGCCACGGGTGTTGAGGTCCAAATACCGAAAAGCGTCTTAAAAGATTGCGTTACCATTCGCAGTATACACACCGATTTCGACAACATTTCGCAGAATGCCAAAAGCTTTGAGACAACGATCTCTACATCGCTCAATTATCCCACCGCTGGCATAGTGAATATTGAGGACTCGGTGCTTAACGAATGGCTGATGCAGCAGGATATTCAAGAGGAGACTTTGACTCTGATGTTGACGAGGCGGCAAGAGTATGAGGAAACTATGCAGATCATAGCCGAGAAAACAGAGGCGGCAGCCAAAGCGGCCAAACAATCTGATGCCGATAAGACCGTCAAAATAATAATACCCAAAGCTCCGAAAGAGCCTCCATTTGTTCCAACGGGCATGTTCCCCGATATCTACAACGATTTTCTCAGAATGGAGGAGAGCCAGTACTCGGGTTATCTCGATGAGGTTTATCATCCAAGGCATCTAGATATGCAGGAATTCGAGGTAGGTACTATTATCTAATAAAAATTATTATCCATTAGTAGTTAGATTGGTACGTATGTTGGTAGCCAATTGAGTAACTCATCTTTTACGTTTCACTTCGTGGCTTAAAGAGTATACTTTCATTCAATAAATAATTGTTATTTAAAAGAAGAAAAAGTTCGGGAATCCATTTGTCTGAGATCTATTATTGATTTACTATTTAAATATCATTGGGTATTGTCCAATTATCTCTAGAACTAAACTGTAAAACTCATTAGTTAATAACTTTAGGATTATTATTATTATTTTATCATTAAGGATAAACTTTTCTCAGATAAATCTCAGGCAGTACATTATGCTCGGTGGCATCTATGCGATCATGTTTATAAGACGTCCTGACCAGACTCAGTTCGAGAAGTTCAACATTGTTTTGCACGAGGACGGACGGGTGCTGCACACCATGCCCGAAATGGTGGCAGAAATTCAAGTGGCAAGAATGCGCAGTACGATTATTCCCAGAAAAACCAGGGAGACCTTCCGGGGCACAAAGATGAAGCTGGAAGACGACGAACTTCCGTATTTCATTGTAACCCTGCAGCTGCCACAGGATCTGTGCAAGTGGAGTGAACCCGTGGTTTGCCATTTCATGACGGAGAAGGAGTTGGTTCCAATCGATTACAAACGGGATTCACTCTGGATGCCCACCATGCAGGGTTCAGTAAGACATTCGAATTTTAGCGAAAGCGCAGGAAGTACCATGTATCGCGGCAGTCGATATTCAGTTGACTCATCAAATATATTTCGACCCACCATTCGGTCGTTGCTCAGGCAAAGTAAAGTAGAATCGGTTCAGCTAGCCGAAACTCCTTTGGAAGATTTCAATCTGCTTAAGAAATTAAACCACTTGGAGATTAGAGCCTTGGAGAAACATTGTTTGCCCCGCATTATCTCCACGTTTAAGTTTCCCGTAGATTTTCGCGATGATAAACGAGAAGGGGGAAAGATGGGTCTAAAGGGTTTGGTCAAACGGCCAGAAGCCGAGGGAGTGGTTAATCAGGTTGAGAATTTAGAGTTAGATTTTAATTCCCAGCTCAATAACGCGGAACGCATGTTTCCCCACTTTCCGACCGTTGATGATATACAATATCCTCCGCCTTCTGAGGATTCGGAGCCAGGACCTATCACTGTATCTACAGCGCTTGGACTTTTGAAATCAATTGACGACATTAAACTGAAGTATCGCCAAAAGCCCTTAGACCTTTTGAATCAGCCCGACGAGCAGGACAAAAAATCGAAGCAAAAAAAAATGATGGTAAAGGAGGACGAAGAGTATCAAGAAGGACAAACAGGAAGACGCAAGACCAGTAAGCTCTACGAAAAAATACGCTCGAGTACTAGGGCGGAAAAGGCTGAAAAGACTGATAAATTTAGTATAAGCGTTTCGGAGAAAATTAAAATGGATGAGCTGCAGGAGCAAGACGTGACCCACTGGACCACAAAATACATTCACGACCCCATTCTGGATAGGGCGACCAGTAGACTCACCTTTAAAACAGACCGTCTGGGATATTTTGGATTAGCTTTCAAGCGGTACGAACACTTTCCCTTTCGCGAGTGGTCAATGCAGCCAAATGAGGAAAAGTAAGTGTTTAAATATCTAAGAAGGATCGCTTGGGTCACCACATTCCATTTACAGTCCGGATGAGATAATACTCATGGTGGACACATATCATGTACGTATATTTTTCTACATCACATCGAAAGGTGTGCGGGGATATGTGACGGATCTGAGCAAGGGGTACACTGCTAAGCCAATTAAATATCTAGAGATTTTAGAACCAATATCTGACTTTCGCGAAATGCGCAAGGTAAGTCTATATCAAATTAACTCTTTTCATTCAATACCCTTCCCGCAGTTGTTTATGAGCAAGAACATCAATATATTTGCCGAGAACGATGCTAGTTTCTATATAGAAAATGGATACTTCTCCATGAAGCATGTGGCACTCGAGCAGCACACATATAACATCATGGCACTCCATTGCAAGTTGATGAAATTCTACCGATCCAGCTGGAATCGACTGGCCTCACGACGCGACATCATCATGGGCATGAAGATCGCCAAGGAATCCTCTGATTATTCAGAGGTAACACTGCGAATAACCCCCGAAAATACCACCTTCGTTCAGATTTCAGAGAATTGCTCGGACAAAGTAAATGTGATTGTGCTTACTTACAATAACACTTGGCGAAACATCAGCGTAAGACTTCAAGAAAATACACAAAATAAAGATGGATTATTTATAATTCTGCATTACAGGAATACACAGATCTTCATCAGGCCATAAACTCGATGGTTCCTAATGCCACAGAATTGCGTAATAAGGATTCCATTCTTCTACATTACGTAACGCGAATGCTAAAAGAGATCAGGCTTTTAAGCTTTTCGTAGGATTTCTCTATATTTTGTACATCATACTTGGTATCCTTGAATACAATAAAAACTGTTCACAGCGCATTAAAACATATGCATCCATAATATGAAATAGGCTTCTTGATTTTTTGTTATTCATCTTATGGTCATCCTAGACAAAAATTTAAATTTGAAACTGCAGGGCATTATTTTTAAAGTAATCAAATATCTTTGCCTACACAATCCTTGTCTCAACTTTCAGATGTACACATACTCTCAAGCACAAACAACATAAATATATAAAACAAAAAAAAAAACAAAATATAAAAACTTTGAAAGAGTATAATAACACCGCGATTTTGGCAAAATGGTTAAGATGGTTAAGGCAACTGCTCCAACTCGAACCTCCGGTTTGATAAGTGAATCCGAAATGATGGAAGAGCAAAAAAAGTATACCATCCGTCTGCAAGATATTTCTGCTGCTTGTGCCATATTCAGAAGTAATTTTAATGAATGTAATTGAGAATATTAAAAAATGTTAATCAGTCGACTGTACTTAGAGGCACTTGATCAGTTTAGGGATCTCGAGGAAGAACGGACGAGACAAGATCGTTGGGATCAGTTTGTTCGTTGTGATGGATTGCCCAAGGCCCGATCACCAATCGAAATCCGATCTTTCTTGGCCAAGATTCGTCACTATGAAGATATCGAAGCCAATAATTCGATTGATTGGACTTTGGCGGTTGATGAGCGTAGTATTCTCACCCAAAATATTTTCCACAAGGATCTAACGCGATCGACCTTGGAGAAACAGATTGTCGATAATCCAGGGTCCTATTTTGAAAAAAATATAAGGAATTGTCTGGAAGTTTTGCGGCAGATTGATGCTCTGATGGACAACGAGGTGGAAATGGAGCGCATAAATAAGAATGTACAGATTGATATTTTGGAGGTTGGTGCATGTATGTGCAAGAGTGGATAATCCGTAGATCTAATTACAGGTCTACACAGATGTGCAACGAGAAGTCGAAAGCCTTTTTGATCGTCTTACTTATCGGATTTTAAGCGTGCAAAAAACCTACATGGAGTAAATGGATTTATTTTATTATGACATTTATATTAAGTATATATTTATTTATTTTTATAGATCCACCAATGGGGTAGTGGCTACGTGGAGCTACTTAAGCGATACATGGGGCTTGGATCTCTGGGGTCTTTTGAACGTTCCCATTATCTTTAAGCAATTGGAGTAAGTTTATCGAAGCTAAATTGTTACATTCACTCATCTCTTAATTAGAGTCCCAGCTATGTTGGCTGATTTTAAAGTCACCGGCGTTCAGGCTCAAATACCACTGAGTATCCTGTGCGATTGCCTTACTGTCCGCTGTGTCCACACCACCTTTGACCACCATTCAGAGGACGCGAAGAGCTTCGAGCCACCGATCGTTGAATCTGTCTTCGTTCCCAGTGCTGGAATCACAGATATGGAAGAGTCGATGGTTGGTGAGTGGCTGATGCAGCAGGACTTACAAGTGGAAACCCTGGATGCCATGAATCGAAAACGGGAGGAGTACGAGGAACTAATGCAGCTCATTGCCGAGCGGACCGAACAGGCTGCCAAGGAGGCAAAAGCCGGTAAGAGCGCCGATGGTACAAAGCGCATAAAGATAGTCATTCCGAGGACTCCGAAGACGGTGCCCCTGGTGCCGCAAGGAATGTTTCCCGAAATTTATAATGACTTTCTGATTCGTGAGCAGGCTCAGTTCAATAAGTTTGTGGACAACTACTTTCATCCAAATCATCTTAACATGCGGGTCGAGGAGGTGAGTTGAATATCGGACACGAACAGAACTAGGATAGGTAAAAAAGACAACACTTCTAGATAAATCTGCGCGAATATATCATCATTGGTGGAATCTATAATATTACCTTCGTGCGGCGACCTGACCAAACACATTTCGAGAAGTTTAACATTATTCTGCACGAGGATGGCCGTGTCTTAAAGATCATACCCGATGTGGTGGTGAAAGCTGAAAAGGACTTTCGCGGCAGCTCACGAGTTTCCGATTTCACCAGGATGACAATGAACGACACCATGATGAAGCTGGAGGATGATGAGCTGCCGTACTTCGTCGTTACCGTGAAGTTGCCGCCAGATCTCTGCAGGTGGGGCAAGCCCGAGGTCTGTCATTATTTGAGGGAGATAGAGACACCGCCCGAGCCTTTGGAGAGGCGAACCACCATATCGCTCAATTTAGTTGACACCCAACGAATATCATCTGAAATAGCCCAAAGGGAAGGCAGCTTGATGCGATCCACAGTGGGCAATCAGTTTAATCCAACTATCAAATCAATCCTAAAGCAGAGTACGGTCTATGCACCCATTCCTGAGAAAGGGTTACCCATTAAAGATTTTAAGCTGGAGAAAACTTTAAATAAGATAGAAGTGATGAACCTGAAAGACATTTGTTTGCCGCGCATAATCTCTTCATTTAAGTTTCCAAGCGAATTTATGGCAGAACAAAGTCTGTCAGATGCTCAAAAGTCTAAATCAAACCGCTTGATAAAAAGGGTTGAAACTGAAATGGTGGCGGAAGTTGATCGGCCATCGCAATATTTCGATTATAATATGCAGCAAGGACCAGAAAGGATGTTTCCCGTTTTTGAGATGGTAGCTCCTGTAGAATTTACTTCTGAGGATTATTCGACCCCCATCGATTCTTTAGACACAGCAACAGCATGTGGGCTTTTATCCACATTGGATACCATTAAAGAAAAGTATTTGCAGAAGTCGCGACCACTGCTAGATCAAGTCCAAATCATGCCAAAGAAGTTTGAGAAAAGGTTCGAAAAACAACAAGACATCCGACTAAGTACCTATAGTATAAAGACTAGAATGTCTGTTCCAGAGACAAAAGATAGGAAAAGTGTTGCTGACAGAAAAAGTTTTGGAGACGCGAATGTTAAAAAAAGTTTTTCAGATTTTATGTTTGGAAAGAGTGGTTCAGAACATACATTTCCCATTGAGAGTGGTCAAGAGCATAAGAGAGCCAGAAGGAGTGGATCTCTTAAGCGACGATCGACGAGAAAGAGTGGAAAGCTGGAGGAAATCGTTATTGAACCCCAAGAAAAGGAAGCGCCCATATTACTCAATCACTGGACGAAACAGTACATATTTGAATCTTCGATAGACCCCAAGACCAACACACTAACCTTTAGAACCGACCGTCTGGGGATGTTTGGATTGGCCTTTAAGCGGTACGAGCACTTTCCATTCAGTGAGTGGTGTCTGCAGCCCAATGATGATAAGTATGTGGCTTAACGTTCCGTAAGAGTCCCTAATAACTAAATCCTACATAAACTTACAGTCCAGATGAAATTATTTTAAGCCTCGATACATTTCATGTTCGAATGATCTTCTACATCTCATCCCAGGGAGTACGGGGTTATGTAACCGATCTGAGCAAGGGATACACGGCCAAGCCAGTAAAGTATCTGGAGATTGTGGAGCCAATCTCCGATTTTCGGGAATTGCGAAAGGTACGGATGTGTGGAGGATAACCATGATACCTATTTTAATACCAACTCCTTTCGCAGTTACTTGTGGAAAAGAATTTAAACATCTTTGCGCAGCACGATGCCTGCTATTATATAACAAATGGTTACTTCTCCATTAAGCACGTGGCCACTGAGCTCCACACCTACAATACCATGGCCATGCAATGCAAGCAGATGAAATTCTATCGATCCAGTTGGAATCGTCTCGCCCAACGCCGCGACATCATCATGGACATGAAGATTGCAAAGGACAACTCTGAATTCTCCGAAGTCACAATGCGTATTACACCCGAGAAAACTACGTTTGTCAAGATCACGGAGATATGTTCGGATGACATAAATGTAGTCAAGCTGCGTTACGAGGAAACTTGGAGGAACGTTAACGTGAGTAGCCATCATCCCCTTTTTAAAGAATATTATGATACACCTCCTTGTGAATCGCAGCACTATAATGATTTTAGTCAGGCCATCTATTCGATGAACCCACATGCCCTGGAGGGTTGCAATAAAGAAGCAATGCTTTTCGTCTACATTAAAAGGCTTCTCAATGAAATTCGTCCTTTAAGTTTCTCCTAAGTTGTCGGTACTTGTGTATAAATTTTGCATTAATTCATATCATAGCACTCAAGTGGTTTTTACAAAATGTCATTTATGTCAATTTCAATTACAAACTGACACGAAAGCACACACAAAAACACACACAAAAAAAAAACACAAAAAACACACACAAAAACAACAAAAAAATGGTAAAAAGAAAAACCATGGTTGCTCACAAATCCACCGTAGATCTTCTTTCGGAAGACGAGTGGATGGCCCGCAGAAATACATATATGCAGCGTTTGTCGGATCTTCGAATAAGCATAGCTTTTATTGATGGTACAGATAGGTAGATATTTTCAGATTATAAAGTTTCTTAAACTATTTTCCTCAGAGGCCATTGAGGAGTACAAGGAGCTGCAGAAAAAACAGTTGCAGGATGAGAAATGGAAAAGTTACATGGCCTGCGACGGTCAGCCCAATCCCAATCGTCCTGCAGAAATCCGGCAATTTGTCTACCAACTGAAATTCCTGGAGCAGGAGTCCTACAATGAAGACATCAATTGGGTTCTGTCGGTTGACGAACGCAGTATACTTTCTCATGCTCCTGATCGCAGCGATATGACCCGTAGGAACTTGGAAAAATCACGTCCAAACATCGGTCAGCTCTACGATGATAATGTGCAGCGTGTTCTGGAAACCATTGGACGTGTGGAAAGAGTACTCCGAAACGATGATGAGCTACTTCGCCTACCGACTTTTCAAGTCCTTGAATTAGATAAGGTAATACTTCACCTAAATAGGAATAATAGTTCTGAAAATACATCTAATAATGATTAAATCGTATCTATACTTTTCTAGATGCCCTCAGAGCTCCACAGTGATATAGAAACTTTCTTTGACAAGCTCACTTACCGGGTAATCTGTGCGCCAGAAGCCTATATGACGTAAGGTATTATAAGTTAACTAAAAGTCCAACCAATTTTAACTTTCGTATTTTTCTCGAAGGACTAAAGGAAGTATCTTGTCATACTACTGCTACAACTGCAGCAATTTTAACTTCCAGATATGGGGACTGCAGGATGTACCAATTCGTTTCAACTATATGAAGTAAGTGGTTTATTTTTATGGGATTTTTTGACGGAGTTGTTAACATAATTAAAGGCTACCGATAATTTGCTCCGATCTGGACTGCGTTGGTGTGACCCTTCAACTGCCACTTAGCGTGCTCTGCGACAATTTGACTCTGCGGTGTGTGCAAACCTTCTTCGACCCCTTTTCACAACTGTCAAAAAGCTACGAGCTAAACATGGATGGTTCTATTGTTAGTCCCAATTGTGGACTAGTTGACATCGCGGATAGTCTAATGACTGAATGGATGACCCAGATGGATATACAGGAGGACATCATGACGAAAATGAACACTGAGATGGAGATTTACAATGCGGCAATGGCGTAGGTTAAAATGTTGGTTAATGCTTAAGCTACCTAGCAGTAATATTTGAATCCTTATTCAAAGTGCTATTGCTCAAGCAATATCGCAAAAAAAAAAGAAACCGGATAAGAAAGGAGCTGGGAAACCAATTCCAAAGCCACCAAAAATGCCGCAAGAACTACTAGCTGGCACGTTCCCCGATCCTTACAAGTTATTCCTCGAGCAAGATAAGAAAGATTGCTCCGACTTCTTTAATGAATACTTTCATCCAGACCACTTAAGCTTATTGCCGTTTGAGGTAATGTACCAAAAATTAAAAACAATTAATATACGTTTTAATATTCGAGGACCTTCTGATCAATTTTGACTTTTTATACCCTTGCAGAGGGTATTATAATTTTGGTCAGAAGTTTGTAACGCAGTGAAGGAGACGTTTCCGACCCTATAAAGTATATATATTCTTGATCAGGATCAATAGGGGAGTCGATATAGCCATGTCCGTCTGTCCGTCTGTTTCAATACCGTTTGCGAGCTCAGTTTAAAAGCTAGCGATCTGAAACTTTCACAGTCGTCCTAAAACAAGTGTACGCAGATCAAGCTTGAAAATCTCCCCGATCGGACGTCTATATCCTATAGCTCCCAATAGGAACAATCGGATATATCTTGCAAGAATTGATGATATTTCGCGCAGTGTAAAAGCTATTGACATGAATCTTTCCAAATCGTATTTTTTTATGCATACCTTGATCAGGGTAAAAGCGCGTGGCGATCGGACGTCTATATCGTATAGCTCCCATAGGAACAATAGGGTAAAATCGGTCAAAATTTTATGTTTTTCAGAATATTTCTCGCTGTGTAAAAGCTATTGCTATAAATTTTTTCAAATCGTATTTTTTTATGCATTCCTTCATCAAGGTAAAAGCGCGTGCTGATCGGACGTCTATATCCTATAGCTCCCATAGGAACAATCGGATGTAACTTTCAAGAATGGAAGATATTTCGCGCAGTGTAAAAGCTATTAACATAAATCTTTCCAAATCTTATTTTTTTATGCATACCTTGATCAGGGTAAAAGCGCTTGGCGATCGGACGTCTATATCCTATAGCTCCCATAGGAACAATACGGTGAAATCGGTTAAAATGTAATGATTTTTAGGTTATTTCGCACAGTATACAATTATAAGCAATATAATTTATACAATTGTATAAGCAATTGACATGAATCTTTCCAAATCGTATTTTTTATGCATACCTTGATTAGGGTAAAAGCACGTGACGATCGGACGTCTATATCCCACAGCTCCCATAGGAACAACAGTGTGAAATCGGTCCAAATTTGTTGGTTTTCAGAATTTTTCGCGTAGTGTGTAAGCTACTGACATAAATTTTTCCAAGTCTTATTTATTTACGCATATCTTGATTAGGGTAAAAGCGCTTGCCGATCGGACGTCTATTTCTTATAGCATAGAAAAATAGTTAAAGGCTGCGAAAGTATCCCTTTTTTTCTATTTTTATACCCTTGCAGAGGGTATTATAATTTTGGTCAAAAGTGTGCAACGCAGTGAAGGAGACATCTCCGACCCTATAAAGTATATATATTCTTGATCAGGATCACCTCCTGAGTTGATATAGCCATGTCCGTCTGTCCGTCTGTCCGTCTGTCCGTCTGTCTGTCCGTCTGTCTGTTTCTACGCGAACTAGTCTCTCAGTTTTAAAGATATCGAATTCAAACTTTGCACACACCCTTCTTTCCTTTGCACGCAGTATATAAGTCGGAACGGCCGGGATCGGCCGACTATATACTATAGCTGCCATATAACTGATTAATCGGAAATGCCATAACTCTGCTGTTTGTTAAGTTAGGAAGTTGGGACTTTCTATGGGTTTTATATTTGGCCAATCAGTACGACGTACCAAATTTCATAAGGATCGGCCGACTATATCCTATAGCTGCTATATAACTGATTGATCGGAAATGCCATAACTTTGGTGTTTGTTAAGTTAGAAAGTTGGGATTTTCTATGGGTCTTATTTTTGGCCAATTAATCCGACCTACCAAATTTCATAAGGACTGGCCGACTATATCTTATAGCTGCCATATAACTGATTGATCGGGAATGCCATAACTTTGGTGTTTGTTAAGTTAGGAAGTTGGGACTTTATATGGGTTTTATTTTTGCCCAACCAAGCAGACATATCAAATTTCAAAGGGATCGGCCGACTATATTCTATAGCTGCCATATAACTGAACGATTGGAAATGCCATAACTTTGGTGTTTTTAAAGTTAGGAAGTTGGGATTTTTTATGAGTATTAAGAATGCATCATATGAATAATTTTGGAGAATATAATTTGCAGAATATTCTGCAAGGGTATTTCAACTTCGGCTCCGCCCGAAGTTAGCTTTCCTTTCTTGTTATATGACATTTTTGCAGTATAAAAGCAATTGACATCAAACGACGCAAATCTAGTTTATTTATGTATACCTTATTCCTTTCGCTACTTTTTCAGTTTTAGCAATTTCGTCAAAGTCTGCAAGGGTATTAAAACTTCGGCTTGCCGAAGTTAGCTTCCGTCCTCGTTTTCCATATGATTAGCTAAACATAAAACAAAACTGTATTATTCCGATTGATTTTCTTGCACATATTAATGAAGTTCTGTTTATAACTTTGAATTTATAGGTAAACCTGCGTCGTTTCATAATCATGGGTGGTGTTATATCGCTGGTCTTTGTGCGAGGAGCCAAGCACATTACATTCGATAAGTTTAATATAACGCTGCACGAGGACGGACGCGTATTGCGTAGGAAACTGGATGAATTGGATCTATCGTCGGAATCTAAAAGCCGGCTAAGCAAATTTAATATCCCCCAAATGAAGAACGATACCGACCAGGAGGAAGACTCGGAATGTCATCTGCATTTGGAGCCGGATGAGCTGCCGTTTTATTTCCTCACTTTTCAGGTGCCAAACCATTTGTGCCTTTGGGGCGAGCCTATGGTGTGTCAATTTGTTGTGGAGGAGATCGAAGAAGAGGAAAAGGAAGAAGAAATTGTATTTGAAAGGCTGGAAAAAAAGCAAAACAAGGTGCGCAAGGTTATCCGGAAGAAATCCGATTCTTTGAATAAGAAAACTGCTAGCGCTAAGAGTGTAATTGCGGCAGAAGTAAATCCAGAGGAAATTGATAAACCAAAATACCATCAGCCGGCACTAGAAACTTCAGTCAACATTTATCGTCCGACGGCGTTGTCCATGGTGCGACAAAGTGTTTTGGAATCGGAGGTAGTGCATCAGAGTTTAGTGAAAAGCTATGAGCAGCAGACGGAACCGGTATCCACGAGGAGGCTTAATTTTCTTAAGCAGCACTGCTTACCGCGGATAATATCCTCGTTTAAATTCCCGCGGGAGTTCATAGATGACGAGCTTGAAGAACAGGCCATGAAAAAGGGACCGTTCACACAGATTTACCGAAGACGATTGACCGGTTCTCTTACAAATGAACCCACTGGGCACCACCCCTTTAACTACGAAGATCAGTCGTTTCCCGAGCGAATATACCCAAGGTTCCCATTGGTAAGCCCCCTAAAACCGGAGATGGACAGCACGAAAGATGATGCAACAATGTACGGATTTATCCAACAATTGGACGACATCAAGGATAAATACCTGGAGGCTCCAAAGAAGATAGAGCAACAGGCCACAGCCACTGTCAGGATGAGCAGACGGATTTTTCACGAATTGCCCATTTCGAATCGACCTGGCCGACGAAGTTCTTATATGAGGAGGTCTACCAGACTGTTGGAATTGGATGATAACCCTATGGAAAGGGAGTTCGAAGCGTCGGAACCCAGTGACACTTTGGGAAAAATCAGAAAAGAAAGCATTGTTCGGAAGATTGAACCTATAAAGGTCTTCCATTGGACCACCAAGTTCATTCTGGAGTCCCAGTTCGATCGGGAGAGCAAAGTTCTTACTGTCAAGACGGATCGCTTGGGAAAGTTTGGATTCGCATACCACCGATACACCCATTTTCCCTTTCGCCACTGGGAGCTGGAAAAAAATGTGGATAAGTAAGGGATCATGATTTTCTAGTTTAAGAATAATCTTTACTTTCTAATTACCTTTGTAGCCAGGATGAGATCATCTTCACTTTGGACACTTACCTCGTGCGTGTTGTCTTCTTTATCAGCAAGGATGGTATACGGTGTCATGCAGTCGACATACCGAAGGAGTATATCGCCAAGCCGTTTAAGTATATAGATATTAAGGATCCCGTTTCGGATTTCGTCGAGCTGCGCAAAGTTTGGAAATGATTTATTCAGGGTTAGTTCTATAATTTAATAAATATCGTTACAGCGCCTTCAGGACATGAACCTGAATGTGTTTGCGGAGCTCGATGCATGTTTCTACATAGATCAAGGCTACTTTTCGCAGAAGCACTTGGCGGCGGAGTTGCATATTTATGATGCCATCGCCGTGCATGCCAAGCTGATGGAGTTTAGCCACAGTCAGTGGAATCGCCTGGCCTCGAATCGGGATCTGGTGCTTTGTCTACGGAACCCTAAGGATGTGCACGATGGGGCGGAGGTCACGGTTCGCGTAACGCCCGAGAATTCGACCTTCGTGGAGGTCACGGAACTCTGCACAGAAAATCTAAATGCGATCAGGCTGAACTATAGAAATACCTGGCGTAACATTGGGGTAAGCAATATCAAATGGTGAAGATACGTATATATTATTAGGAAAATATAAATCAATTAATATATTAATAACCTTATAGACCTATTCGGACTTGCATCAGCTGATCAACTCCATGTATCCGCATGCCACAGATATGCGAAACCGCGATGCCAACCAGATGTACTATCTCCGCCAGCTTCTGCAAGAGATTCGACCCCTGAGCTTTTCCTAGTACCGCGAACGCTGCTCAATTAACAACTGCCAAACAAATACAGACTACAGCGAACACTTTCAAATTAACAGCAATTAAAGTCAATTGCCATTCAACAAAGTATTTAATAACTTTCATTAGCTTTGCTTAAGTGGGTTCTCCACGCTCAGACGATGGGCATGGGGATTGGGGAAAAGATCTGTTTGCCTTGAGATAGTGTTTTCCATTCCATGTATCCAATGCAACGCATGCTAGCATGCTGCTTGCTGGCCGCCACTCTGTCCAGGATCGATGTCTTTGCCCGGGACATTGGGGAAACCATCGATTTGGAGAGGCTGGGCAAGTTAGTATTGCCCTCTGGTTTGCAGACACGAGTAGTCGGTGGTCATGTCACGACCAATGAGAAACTGGGCGGCTATCTTATAGCATTGCGCTACCAGAAGGAGTTCATTTGCGGCGGCACTCTTCTCCAGGACCTAATCGTCCTGACGGCGGCCCATTGCTTCATCGGCAGGCCAAAGACCGGCGAATGGGTGGCCAGCGGTGGCATCTCGAAGCTCAATGAAAAGGGTATCCAGCGTCAAGTCAGGACAATCATCAAGTCCGCCCAGTTTCGGGAAAGTGACATGAACATGGATGTGGCCATACTACGGCTGAAAAGCCCCATGAAGGGCAAAAATATCGGAAGACTGTCTCTGTGCTCCACGCCCCTTAAGCCGGGTCTGCAACTGGTGGTTTCCGGATGGGGCATGACCGATGCCAGAGGCGTTGGCCCGGAGACACTACTGCGTTCTGTTACGGTGCCAGTCGTCGATAAGAATAAATGCCGTGCTGCCTATCGGCAATCGGGTAAGTGTTATGGCTTAGAGAATAGGGTTAGCAACTTATCTAGCTTTGGTAGTGGAAAAAAATAATGGTTAGTTGGAAGCTCACATTATCATAGAAGTTAACTGAAATTATAAAAGGGTAGATACTTGATGGTGGGTCAATAAATTCAACAAATAAAGCACATTTTTATACCCGTTACTCGTAGAGTAAAAGGGTATATTGTATTCGTGCAAAAGTATGTAACAGGTAGAAGGAAGCGTTTCCGACCCTATAAAGTATATAAATTCTTGTTCAGGATCACTAGCCGAGTCGATCTAGCCATGTCCGTCTCTCCGTCTGTCCGTCTGTCTGTCCGTATGAACGCTGAGATCTCGGAAACTATAAAAGCTAGAAGATTGGCATTTTGCATGTAGATTTTAGGAGTTCCTACGCAGCGCAAGTTTGTTTCAAAATAGTGCCACGCCCCCTCTGACGCCCACAAGCCACAAGCTGTGGCCACAGTTTTGATGCTATTATGAAAATTTTAATTGATATGTATTTGTTTCGTCAATACCTATCGATTGGCCTAATAAAAGTTTGCCACGCCCACTCTAACGCCCAAAAACCCATTAAACGCTTAAGCCTGGCTAGCGCCTGCATTTCCGCCTTTCATGGCGCCATCTAACGGATGACTTTGGAACAGCTGGCCAAGGTGCTCAACAGAGTCAACGTTAATTCTCGATAAGGATTTCCATTAAAGGAAACGGAGTAACGGGTATCTAATAGTCGAGGCACTCGACTATAGCGTTCTCTCTTGTTTGTTCTGGTTAATGACTTTTGCGCTATTTATTGTTTTTCATATATTTCAATATTAAATCATAACTCGTTAGCACTTGAATCCAATTTACAAACTTTATTAAAATAACACTTTCAAATTTTTTTTTTTTAACTGTTTCTTATGATTTAGTCTGTGTCCGTGTTTTTATACTACCTTTTGTCATGGAAAAAGATTTGCAAACTTTAGTTTCAATATATTTTTTTAAATTGTATCTTTATGATTTCATTTAGTCCGTGTTTTTATACTGCCTTTCTTAATAGAAAAAGCTGTAGGCAAATTCGTTTTAATCAAATTTCCTTTCTAGCAAAGGAGTTTTAATTATTTTTAACAGAATTTTATAGGCTTTATAAAATTTTTTTTATTTTTTCGCAGTCAATTTAACAAACAGCATGTTCTGCGCCTCACTTTCGGGAAAAAAGGATGCCTGCACTTACGACTCTGGAGGACCATTGGTCTACAAAAATCAGGTCTGCGGCATAGTGTCCTTCGGAATCGGATGTGCCAGCAGGCGTTATTCCGGGGTCTACACCGATGTTAATTACATAAAGCCCTTTATCGAGAAGAGCATTAAGGCGTTAAAACGTTAAATAAATTGAGAAATTGTATGGGGAAAAAAATAAATTATAATAGAATACCCATTTGATTATGTATTAAATAACTGAATTTAGTCTCGCATTAGTGGCTTTCTCTACGCTTATTTATTGCATTAAGTTGGATATTTATTTTGGCAAGTGTCATTCCGTTCTATTCCCTATATCCAATGCATAGCCTTCTAGCTTACTGCGTTCTGTCTGCCGGTCTATATTCGATTCATGTAGTTGGCCAGGACATTAATCAAACCATTGATGTGGAAAAGCTAGCCAAAATAGTGCTGCCCTCGGATCAAGAGACCCGCGTTATTGGCGGTCAGGTGACTACGAACTCAAAGTTGGGTGGCTATCTAATGGCACTGCTATACGAGAAAGAATTTGTTTGCGGCGGCACTTTGCTGCGGGAACTCATTGTCCTGACGGCAGCCCATTGCTTTTTGGGCCGAATGGATATTCACGATTGGGTTGTGGTTGGCGGCATTTCGAGACTTGACCAAAAAGGTATACGCCGCCAAGTAAAGGACTTTATTGTGTCCGATAAGTTTAAAGAGGAAGACATGAATATGGATGTTGCTGTGATGCTGCTGAAAAGTCCTATGAAGGGCAAAGATATCGGAAAACTAGCGTTATGTTCTACGGCCCTTAAACCTGGCATCGATCTGAAAGTTTCCGGTTGGGGAATGACTGTTGCCAAAGGCATAGGAGCACAGACATTGTTGCGCACTGTTACAGTGCCCATTATTAACAAGAGGAACTGTCGAGCTGCCTATCAGCCAATGGGTAAGCTAACACGTCGGCCTTACTTATTTGGAAATTAGTTTGGTTTTACACAGTTTTGCCATATTTCCAAACATAAACTTGAGATTTATCAAATCCATTTTTATTGATATGAAACAATACCCTTATTTCATTTCAAAATCCCTTTTAATTGCTTTGATCTTCAAATTATATCAAAAACTTTATAGCCAACCCGAAAATCCTCCCCGATTTCAAGAACACACCTAATATATAAGATTTTAAAAGATACATTTTGGTTTTATTTTTTTTATTGTATAGCCGAAATAACAGACAGTATGATATGCGCTGCAGTCCTTGGAAAAAAAGATGCATGCACCTTCGACTCTGGTGGTCCGTTGGTGTACAAAAAGCAGGTTTGCGGCATTGTGTCCTTTGGCATTGGATGTGCTAGCAGACGTTATCCTGGCGTCTATACGAATGTCATTCACGTGAAACCATTTATCGAGCAGAGCATTAAGACCTTGCTTGCAAAGACTTAAATAAAAACTGAATTCATAAAACGAAGTCATTAAATAATTTGTTGGCTGTGTTTCGTTTCGTTTTGATGTCTATTATTGGAAGGGCCAGTTTGATTGCACTGCTTTTTACCTTTTGACTAGTAGTAACTCTCAGCAGGATAAATCAAATCAGGAAAGTAACTTAAGCTTAATAAAGTCAAACAAAGGGTTCCCTACCCACACAAGGATAAATGTCAGATTTTGACGAAACTAAACAACTATATGTGTTAAATAAAAAACTTTATTGCAACTAAAATTCTATTTTTGTTTTTGTGCTCTAGTTATAATCGTCATTATAAACATTAATTCTTTGTAATTGCTATAAATAATCAAAAGACAAAACATAAAGCTGAATATGTTGAGCAAATTATTGAAACCTTTCAAAAACGAATGGTGACCAATGCAATTATATTTATTGCTAATTGTATAATTGTTAAGATTTGTTTGCAAGGTTTGGATTAGTGTTGATCAATGGGTAGACATAGAGCGATTTTTTAAAGGCGGAAATGTCCTTAATGTTCGAAGGGTCATCGCTCTCTCCCAAAAACTCAATTTTGATCTTATCGGTCAATGGCTTCGTTAAAATTTGATGACTCGAGATGTCACGCTGTACATCCTCCAAAATGTCTGCCAAAGATCCGGAACGACTGGTGTTTTGAAAGGTATTTTGGCTTGTTGCATCTGTTGGTAAAATATGCTTTCCCACAACTTGCACGGAAAGTTTTCTTAAATTATTTTTATCATAGTCATTCAAGAAAGTCAAAACATCATCCTTCGTTAAAATGTTTAGCATTTGAATTTGCATTTCCAAACGATTGAAGAAGTATTCCTTGGTAACGATTTCACTCCAATTTCGCATTACTTCCTCATCTAAGCTGGTGTCGCCCAGCCTTTTTCCACCGATTAGAGTTTCTCGAATATTCTGGAACTCCATATCACTCATCTGTGAGACAAGTTCAGACATTCGAGACCTAAAAGCTTCAATACGTTGCTCTACATATTCAGCTTTATGTTTTGTCTCTTGAGTGTTTATGGTAATTAGAAAAGCCATCACACCAAAGCCAATTCGCTGATGTATCCCTAGACTGTAACCCAACTGCTCTTGGGTCCGTAATTGATTGAAAAATGGTTCCTCTACTATCAACTCTATCAGATCCATCAAACATTCTAGTTTCAGATCACTTGGTCCTATTTGATAGTAGTTTGTTATAATTGTATTTGAGTCATCCTCATTAAGAGTTTTGGCCTTTAAATAATGAGATCCTAAAGGCAATTGCAGTAAGTTATTATCCAATGCCGATAAATTCTCTACTTTTTCGCTGTTATATGTGAGAAGAACTTTTTCCATTAAATCTTTTGCTTGTTCTTCAGTGAAATTCCCTTGTATTAAACTTTTTACATACATATTCTTATGAAAATTATCCTTAAAGTCTTTAACATCATCGACTGTTATAGCATCGATCACCTCATATTTGGAAATCATGCTAAAACGCTGATTTTCCAATACGCTAAGGCGCAAATCAAGGTTAAGAGTTTTTCCGTTTATCAGACCATTATATATTTGCCGCTTCTTAAGATCCTTGAACGACTTAACTTGAGCCACATCCAATTCAATAGTTCGCATTACGTTTAGTATTATCTCTACCAAGAGGGGAAGCTTCTCATTATAGCCACTGACCCGCATTACCAATCCTTTATCACCAATATAAAGGCCATAAGTTAGACCTGCTTCTAAGGCTGGATATAATTGCTCGGCAATTGTGAATTCAACTAAATAGGTGTAAAGAACACCGAGCATATAATGTTTAACACTCTCCCGAACCAACGGTGTAATGAAGTAAAGATTTATGTAACCGTCGGGTAGATGGAAAATGTTATCCTGCCGAAACCATAGCTCGCATAAATCATTTTTAATTAAAGCTTTAGGACTCCTCGATATATGTGGTTTTCCAGCTTCTTCCCAATAAAGTGTAAAATCAGTCGTTACAAATGGATTAGGTTCCGGGTAATGTAGTTCCTTTAATGTTGATGGTTTGTCCCACATAGTTATCCATTTTGCGGGCATAGAAATGGTTTTGAATTGAGTTCCAAACCATGGTTCTTTCTGATCGTAATCATTCTGTTCATACGGTATATAGGATGAAATCATTATATTAAAATTGAACTTATTAATGTGATCTTTTAAAAGCTGAAAATCCGATTTATCATATTGAAAATAGAGCTGTGGTCCTGAAAGTACATCTTTTGATGGAAGGTAGTTAAAGTTCTCAACAATACTTTGAACATTATCAATAGAGGGTACTTCAATTTGAAACCGAAAATTGTTATTAGCAATTTGTTGAAATTCTTTATAAGAAGCCTCAAGTTCTTCACTGTTAATAAGAAGCTTAATCCATGAAAATGTGGCTTCCAATACTTCGTCTAGGTGTTCAAACCCATCGTCTGTGAGGTATATACAAATATTGAATAATGAGTATATAGAGTTTGAGTCAAAACTACTTCCTCCAACGCCTGACATTACGCTAATGCACCAGAGACGTCTACGTAAATACGAACATAAACTGCCTACTCCCTCATAACCAATCAATTGGGATATAAAAGAGTCCGGTTTACTGCGATAAAAATTCTTCATTGGTGGCAAAACCCAAGTTAACTCAAGTCTGCACACATCTTCCACCGGCTGCACTAATAATACGTCCTTAAAGAACTCTTCTCGGAATGCCTTTTGGTAATTAAATTTGGATACGTCCTCAGCATTCACCTGGCTAATGGGTATATCTGCGCAATGGCGAATTAGCAATTCCTCTAGTTCGTCTAATGAAAGTTGCGCTTGAATTGCTACTATCATTCGATTCGAACCGTAATGATTTCGACAAAACTTGTGAAGTTCCTTGTGCAGCTCGGTATCATCAACGCCCTGTTGAAGAGATTTAAAATTACCCCAGCTAAAAGTGCCATGTGGGTATTCATCACTGGCTAAGCTGGCCAAAATCTGATCTCTTCGGACTTCGTCTCTCATAAAAGTCTGTTCGAATTCAGACTGGACAGCAGAACGTTCGCGATTCATGGCATCGGGCAGCATTAGCGGAGCCTTTATCAAATTCATAAAAAGATCCATACTCCTATCAAGGTGGGATTCATCCACCTCGAAGTAGAAACATGTCTCCTCGTTCTCAGTATGCGCATTGCTAAAGCCCCCGCTTTTCGTTACAAACGAGTCAAATTCATTCTCAACCGGAAATTTCTCAGATCCCATAAAGATCATATGTTCCACAAAATGAGCTAATCCCTGATATTTGCGTGGTTCACTAAATGATCCAACGCCAACAAGTACTGCACAAGCCGCTAATTTACCATGAAATTGCTCGATCGAAGAATTAACACTTTCGCGGGACTCTCGATGGATTGGCGGATCGTCAATAAAAGGATCTGATATAAGCATGGCCCGTAGTCCATTCGATAAACTTAAGGCTCGGTAAAGTTTTCTGTCTCCATCTGATTTGTCTGGCTCATCATGATATTGGACCACAACTGGGACCGTACTTGCAGCAGCATATTGTTGACGATTCAGCCATTTGTGTACTTGCTTGTTAATTCTTCTTAGGCCGAGCCGCGGCTTAAAACACATCTTTGCAACAGTGTTAACGAGTAATTTTAAAAATATATATTTCACTTACATTATGAAGACTTTTTTTGACAGCTAAACGTAAGCTATAAGGTTTGTACTTAATAAACTTGCTTAATAGTAAACTTTAAGAAGAGAGAACGCTTAAGTCGGGTGCCCCGACTATCAGATACCCGTTACTCAGGTAAAGGGAGTGCGAGGGAGATGGAGATAGAAACTTTGATCACGCATAACTTTTTAACGAATGGTCCGATTTGGAAAATTTCTTCTACATTTCGATAGGTATTGATAAACACAATAAAACTGCATTTTTACTTTTCCGAAATATTTAAATTTTTAAAATCGTATATAAGCGATTGTAGGCGTTAAAGGGGGCGTGACACCTTTTTGAAACAAACTTGCGCTGCGTAGGAACTCCTAGAATCTGCATGCAAAATGCCAATCTTCTAGCTTTTATAGTTTCCGAGATCTCAGCGTTCATACGGACAGACAGACGGACAGACGGACATGGCTATATCGACTCGGCTAGTGACCCTGATTAAGAATATATATACTTTATAGGGTCGGAAACGCTTCCTTCTAGCTGTTACATACTTTTGCACGAATACAATATACCCTTTTACTCTAGGAGTAACGGGTATAAAAATAAAATACGTTTACGAAAAATCACAGTGAGCTAGTAAACGACTCAGAAGTTGGGAGTTATCGGGAGCTATAAGAAAGCAGATTCTAGTAACACCCACAAATCGAATAATTCTGTATTTTAATTTATTATTGTGGGCGTAATATATTTAATTTGTTATTTAATTTGTTGTATTAGTTATTAAGAAATTAAAGCCAAACGGCGTATTACGGTCAGTGACGTCAGTGCTTGAGATCTGCCGGACGTCAGGTGGCGCCGGAACTTTTTTTTTTGCCACGTCAAAGGCGCCCTCTGTTGGAAGTATATTTTTTTATATTGGTCAACGAAGTATCAGGTATCTAATAGTACTAATAATAGGAACTTGTCTACAGCGTTAGTGTTGGTTTCTTATTAAAAGTTTTTGAAATCATTGTAAAAATCCGATTTTTGTTCTCTGTGAACCCATTCATTGTAAATCGTCATATTTTAATATTCGGATAGTCCGAAGAGCATTAAGACTTAATTAATCCCAATAAAAGTATTTTACTACGGCCATTGGTTTCGCTTAAGCAACTTCTATACGCTAAGATGCGGATCGTTTGTAACAAAACATTTCATTCTGTAAACGCCATGCAACGTCTCCTACTTTGCTGCCTGCTTTTTGGCACTATCCTTATGACGAATATCCATGCTCAGAACATCAATGAGACCATCGATTTGGAGAAGTTAGCCCGTAGAGTGCTTCCTCCCGCTCTCCAGACGCGTGTTATTGGTGGCCATGTGACGACCAACGAGAAGTTGGGTGGATATTTAATGGCACTGAGTTACTACGGCTTCTTTATCTGCGGTGGCACCTTGATCCGGGATAATATTGTCCTGACGGCGGCCCACTGTTTTGAGAACCGGGAAATTAAAGAGGGTTGGACTGTGATCGGTGGCATCTCTAGACTCAACGAGCATGGTGTTCGCCGCTCGGTGAAGAAAATCATCAAGTCCGCCGAGTTCAGAATGGAAAACATGAACATGGACGTGGCTGTTTTGCTGTTGAATAGGCCCATGGAGGGCAAATCCATCGGTCTACTATCACTGTGCACTACGCCATTGACTCCTGGCAAGACACTGGTCGTTTCCGGCTGGGGCATGACAGATCCGTCGGCCAGTGGTCCAGCTCAATTGCTGCGAACGGTCACCGTGCCTGTGATTGAGAAGAAGTACTGCCGCGAAGTCTATCAGGATTCAGGTGAGTCAATGTTGAACATTGTACTTCAGATTAAGATTTGGAGACCTGAAAGTATTAACAACAAGTGTACTACTTTATCCTGATTTAAAAATATTAACCTATGATTTTTTTAATCGCATGACTGAGTTCATATATTTCCGCAGGTTATATGAGTATTAATATTTAATGGGTCTCAAGTAACCTATTGTTTTATATTCTTATTAATTATTCAAAAATAATTTTTTGAAACCCATCCTATTTTAAGCATAAAATTTAATGTTTAATTCCACTTGTCCTGTGCAGCCTCCATATCGAACAGCATGTTCTGTGCCTCCGTTTTGGGAAAGAGAGATGCCTGCACCTACGACTCTGGAGGTCCATTGGTCTACAAAAACCAGGTCTGCGGCATCGTGTCCTTTGGAATCGGATGTGCCAGCCATCGATTTCCAGGCGTCTATACGGATGTCTTTTATGTTAAGCCCTTCATTGAAAAAAGTATAAAATCGCTGCTATCGCACCGAACCGGTTAATAAAATCTCGGCAATAAGGCATTCGGAGCATAATTAAAAGAGGTCTTCATTTTTATATTTTATATATCAAAATGTTTTGAGAATCTGATTTAAGAATATAAACATTTTTTTAAAACCAAATTTAGGTTATATTACTCTATTTAAACGTTTGAGAAGAGTAATATGCACTAAATTCTTTAGTCTTTTTATTTAATTTAAAATGAAAATAAATAAATTTTCTTTTCAGAACCAATACTATTTTTGGTAAAATCAAATATTTGTTTATTATAATACATCATTTAATGTTTAAAGCAGTTTTAGATGGCAGTATGCAAAACTGATACCATTTTCTATAATTTTTATACGACTTTCCCTTTGCCTGTCTTTTTTGCATCAATATAAATGGCACAACAGCTTGGGCGTTAATTGTTGTCATTATGTGCAAGTTTTTGCGACTTTCGCGCCAACAATCGCTGGTCGATCGAGTCCACTGACCGTTGGTAAACCATCGACTCCTTTGGGCCATTGCGTGCAGGCGGCAGTCGGCAGCTCCTTGCTGATCATTGACTGATTCCATAATTGATTGGTCCCGGGACGCTGGGCTGCAAAACTGCGGCCTGTTCTTCTGGCCGTGGGGCACAATTTTTTAGAAACGACGTTCGACGACTTGAGTACTTTTACTTTTGCTCCTGGCCACCATCGAAATGTAAATTAGCCGACCGAGTTGGCCAAAAAGCGGGACTACCAAAAATTTATGTGGCAGGCCAGAAGATCGCATGACTGACGGCCTTTCGTCCTACGGAGCTGCGTTTTTGAATTAGTTTAATAATACAATTAATTGTTATTTATAGCTTCCTTTGCGCATCGCAAACGCAGCATTTAAGGGGAGAAATCTTTTAGCCAGACGCAATTTTGTGGCACGCAAGGGCCAATTTGGAGGGGCCACAGGTAGAAGGAATATAGAACTGGCTTAACGGTTCTCAGCTGGGCCTAATAATAGAGTTGGCCAAGTTAGTTGTGATGTGGGTGAGGGATAGCCGTCGGAGGAATGCTTCTGGAGCGGCTCCTTCCATCTGCGCCACAGGATGCTCCTCGCTGGACTCTGAAGAGCGGCCATAACCAACATAAATATCCACAGCAATGACACTTTCCATCCCTTCCCGCGGCGCTGGTTCGCATTAAGTTTATTTATCTACTTTTAAATGGCATTTTCACTTGCATATAATTCTCCTCGTTCTCCCTTGTAATGCGCAATGGAAACAAAGGCAACATAGTGTAACAGCCGCCATAACAGCACGAAGATGCCCAGATACTCCAGACTCCGCACTCCATGACTACCATTTACCACTACTATTTTTAGTAGTGTCATAAATTTATGGCACATTGTGGCAGTGGCAGTGGTAGTGGCAGTGGTAGTGGTAGTGGCTAGGCCTCGACTTGGCCCGGCTCACGTGGAGCAGCCTGGAGGATGCTGGGAGCTGGCCTTAACATGCAAAACAACATGCTAGCTGGCACCTACTTTGCCCATCCAAAGAGATTTACAGATGAAGTCGTGGAGGATGAATGTAACCAACGACGACTCCATGCCATTTGCCAATCAAACAAATCAAATAGGTAGAGCGGATTCGGTTACATGGGTTTATAGATCCCATTTCGGATCTGTTAATTAAAAGATACACACCGACTTCAATAGAACAGAAAGGCAAACAAATCTTTGGGCTGAACAAACACTGGATCAATAGCGGCACTCTGTGAGATACATTCGCTGGGTTTTACGATGCGCTCACTGTTTCGAGTGTTTGACTTGGCTTAAAAGCCAATAAAATTTGTTGTTAATTGTTTTGGTAAATTGAAAATTAGGTTTTGGGAAAAATCATCGCTCAAGTATGCATGGAACGAGTTCAGGTTTGCGTTTGGTATCGGGGTTCCCAGTTTTATGTCTGTTTGCCCAGCGCATTAACTTGGCCACTTTTAATGAACTTTGTGAGAGGCACCATCTGCCGCCAGCCGATCGAGCGGTCATCAGCGGTCTTAGCCCTTCCAAACGAGACAAATCGAATCGTTTTGCCGAAACCAAGATGAACTTTAATCGGCTTAAATGTAATTTAACTTATTTCTATGACTTCAGACCCATTCCCTCCGTGGACCAGCAGAAATCGGTTAATTAAAGTTGTACAAAGTTCCAAGCCGGTTTCATGCCGCGTTGAATCAACAAATTGTAAACTTTTCCGTACTATCCAACTAACTGAGGATTGGAGGGCTGAATGGCGAGGGGCGGGCCGTTCAAAAGGGGGCCATCATTTGTACTTACTTAAGTGCTTGATCATGCTGATATCATCACCTGGCAACTTTCCTTTGTGCCCCACGTACCCACAATGCAATTAGCGGGGTCTGCAGACGCCAGGTGGTCTCCAGTCTCTCCCATCTCCACTCTCATCGCCGCTGTGACCCGCAATCTTAAATCGAAAATCACCAAGAATCGGTAAAGAAATAAATACAAGGAATGTAATTTGTATTACATTATGGGTGCAGCGAAGTTGAAAGCGGGTGCGAGTCGAAATCGCTGTGCCCTTCTTTGCGATTTTCAAAACACTGACTTGAACCTGTCAGTGCTCTTCTATATTATTCTCACTTACTTAAAGATCATACATATATACCCTTCCATGTGAATCTGTAATAGCTTACTTATTTATACCTTAGATTTTTATATAACAAGTCCTGTTGGGTTTCCATGAAACTCCAAATTATAGAAGTTCCACTTTAAATTTGCTTTAAACTTGTTTCATGTATTTTATATTCAAGTAAATTTTCCTAAAGCTGTTATTTTTTAATGAAATTTATTTAAAACAAATTTATTATATTCTTATAGATTTTTTCCTAAATAATACTTTTTCATCTAAACCCATATACCCCATTTAAGGGCACCGCTGCCTCAAAAAATCGAACCGCTGTGTTGACAGTTATTGATCGATGATATTGTAAACACAATGTTCAAATTAATTTTTATTTCGCTCTCTGTTTTTGTGCTTTCCTCTGATCTGTTGCCTTCAATTGTACAAACTCACTTTGTTGATTTTTAATTGACTTTTATTTTGACTTCGGCGGTTGGTCTAATGAATCCGCTTAAGCGGCTTCTAATGCAATGGACTTCCCCGTTTTTCATTTTCCTCGTTTTTCCTCCATCTGCTCCCTTTCAAAGTGTCAGAGGGAGAAGAGCTCAACGTTCCAATAAGTGACACTGACTAATTCGGAACCATTAATCTCCGAGCTGCTTAGCGTCAGTCATGCTGGCCGCGGAGCCATCAATACGCATCAAAATCGAATGCGAATTGTGCATGTTTACACGGACGGGAATGCACGCACAGGTGAGGTGAGATTTCTAGATATCCAGATAAATTTCATTACAAGTACTTGAAAATTATTGAGCTTAAAGAAGAGCTTTTACCTATGTTATATGATTACTATTATGATATCAGAAGTTTTAAGAATAAAAAAAGTTAGTTTTAGTTACTTAAAAACAATAAAATATATGGGTTTTGTTCACCCCATGTATAATTTCATATAAATCATAACAATTAAAAATTCGATTATATTAACTGTTCAATTGTATTTTAAATTAATCTATCTTAGACAATAAATTGTAAGACCTGATTACAGGTATTTAGATGTGTAGATTGTAATATGTTAGTAATTTATGGTTGCAACCCTAAGTACTACTATTTTGAATGCAGCTGTATCTTTAGAGCCTGCATGACGAATGTGCGACCGCTGTGTCTCGGTTGGGTGTCGGTCGTTTGGTGTCTCTGATTTGCCTCCATTTCTAAGCCCAGTACCCAGTACCCAGTACCAAGTGCCCATTCCGATTCTCATAGCCTGGACCAAACCCATTCCCGTTTCCCATTTCCGCGGACATTTGAGTCGAATGCGGTTGTGGACGTGAATCTGGACGCAGACGTGGACAGGGCGTGCAATTAAGCCGCGTGTCTGGCAGTCAACTAGTCACTCACTTCGGCCAGCGATACTGCGTCAGTCCGTCAGTCAAATACTCGCTTTAATTTCGCTATCCGCTCGATTTGCGAAAACAGAGGAAAAAATACAGTTTTGAGGTTAACAATTCTATTTACCAATTAAAATCGCAGTAAAAATAAAGTTTTTTTTATGGATGGATTTTTAAGAGATCAGCCTGCACAGAAAGAAAGGTCTCATGCCAGATGTGGATGATATTTAAAAGTTATACTGAAAATTAATATATTTCTTAATATATTATATTTCTTAATATAAATGTAACCTACCATCACTTACTATTACAATAAATAATATATAGTTCATTTTGATTTAAGAAAAAGGAATTGTGAAGAAATATGTAAAAAGAAAATATGTGAAAGAAATATGTAAAAATCGTTTTCAGTGTATAGCTTCATGAGTTGCTGGAGCTGCATGACTACCGGGCATAATTTCTGCCCGACCGAACGAAATATGCGCCCGAAATGAACACATTGCCAGGTTGGCGGTTCTGCGCACGCGCACGGTTGTTGGCCAGGCCAAGAGGCCCCTTCGTGGATCCCCGAATCTCCCCTTACTTCCTTCTGCATCCCATACTCCAATCTGCGGTTCATTTTGGCCTGGCGACACTCGTAACCGCAGGGCGACGGCGCAGCCCGTTTTCGATTAACGATGACCATGGATGAGGACGAAGGCGAGGACGCGGATGGAGGCAACTTGAGCGTGTGCCAGCCAAGCGAAATGCAGTTGGAGGCCCAACCGATCATTCGCGGAGCTAGAGCTAGGCCACACTACGAGAAACTAAATATAATTAATTTAAAGGCAATATATTAAACGCTTCTTATGTTTTATCTAATTGATTACTGGCATTAATTGTAAGGTATTGTAATTTAATCAGCTATGTTGTTTAACTAGAAATATACAAATCTGCTGGTTTTACTTTATATAAAAAGGTATGTATTCAAGCTAAAAAAATAAATAATATAAAAGGATGATTTTTTCTAATGGTTAAGTTAAGGTAATTTTTATAAATGATAATTTAGGTTAACCCTTAAAAATGTGTTTTCAATGTGTGTCTATTGGTGTCTATTGAATTACTTATCCATATTTAAACACTAGTTTTTGTACTGGTTCTTTTT